AATAGTGTTCGCCACCATCATAGACTTGCTATGTTTATGGCAGTTTATTAAACAGAGCCGCAACATATGGCATCTAGTCCATGGTGGTTCCCGTGGATTTTTCGACGGCCGCCGACATCTTATGTCCGTGGCGGTCAAAAATCCTCGCCGCCTGAAAAAAAGGACGACGATGGCACTATGGGTGACATCACTGTAGTATCTCGCCCATAGGAGTTGCGTGTATATATATATATATATATTCTATAATACTTCTAGCTTTATCATCATTCAAAGTTTATCACATGGTTACATATGTCTAATACTGTTTAAATTTTAATATTGTTTTTACAAATTATAATGATCTAAAATTTTATAGATATGTACGTCTTAGTAAGACGCACATAAATAAAATATAAAACAAATAATTTGAGTGATAAAAATTATGCAAAATATCCCTATAAAGTTTCAAGGGTAATTTCATCATTTTATTTTATGATTAATTTTTTTTAATATTTTATTTTGGTGAGACTTGGTCATATGTACACATGGCTCAAATTTTAGATGAATCTAAACAGTACAATAATTATAAAATTCAAATACTGCCAGATAAATGTGACTGTGTGATAAACTTTGGACAGTGATGAGGTGTAGGTGAAGTTCTACAATAGGTGAAGTACTGTAGAACTTCACCTACATGCATTTTGTAGATGCAAAATACTACAAAACGCCTATAAGTGAAGTTCTACAGTAGTTCACCTACGACTTTATCACCGTTCAAAGTTTATCACACGATCACAAATGTCTAATAGTATTTGGATTTTAATATTTTCTTTACAAATCATAATGACATGAAATTTTGTCAGTGCATCCGCCTTAGTGAGATGCACATGAATAAAATATAAAACAAATAATTTGAATGATAAAACTTAGGTAAAATACCCCTATAAAGTTTCAATGGTAATTTCATCATTTTATTTTATAACTATTATTTTTTTAATATTTTAATTTGGTGCAACTTGGTCATATATACACATGCCCTAAATTTTAGATAAATCTGATTAGTACAATAATTATAAAAATTCAAATACTACCAAACAAATGTGACCGTGTGATGAGGTTTAGACGGTGATGAGGTGTAGGTGAAGTACTATAGAACTTCACCTATAGGTGTTTTGCACTACAAAATGGCGATAGGTGATGTTCTACAGTACTTCACTTACAGCTTTATCAACGTTCAAAGTATATCACATGGTTACAGATATTTAATAGTGTTTCAATTTTAATATTGCTTTTTCAAATCATAATGATCTTAAATTTTATAGGTGTATGCGCCTTAGTGAGATGCACATAAATAAAATATAAAACAAATAATTTGAATGATTAAAATTATGTAAAATACCCCTATAAAGTTGCAAGGGTAATTTCATCATTTTATTTTATGACTATTATTTTTATAATATTTTATTTTGGTGTGACTTAGTCATATGTACCCATACTCTAAATTTTAGATAAATCTGATTAGTATAATAATTATAAAAATTCAAATACTACCGGACAAATGTGACCGTGTAATGAACTTTGGATGGTGATGACGTGTAGGTGACGTACTGTAGAACTTCAACTATAGGCATTTTTGTATATATATATATATATATATATATATATA